GTTCCTACTAACCACCCAACTATGACACCTATCTCAATCCAAACCATTTAGATATTTACTATAAGCTCAGCTTAATCCAGTATAAGGCTAAATTCAGATTAGAAAGATTGTATTGCACCAATGTTTCAAGTGGTGAATTCCCACCTGCTTGTTTCATTATCTTATAGTAGGATTACTAGTTGTTGAAGAGGAATATGACTTATTGATATATGTTCATGAAATATGTGGTTCACTTGGTACTAAGATGTCCCATGGAAGATAAATTAGACATGTCTTATGTTGATTGAGGCTTTCATATAGATGTCATGCATGGTGACGAGCCTGTTCAAAAATATATAGGCTGTCAGCTATATACAAACGCTTTCTAACATCAATGGTTAAAAATGACTTTGAGCAAGTGAAGCATTAAGGCTTGGTAAAGACATCACTTTGTCAAACCTTATGGATTAGCACTACAGAATCATAAACAAAGAACTGTACCAAATAACAGAAACCACATCACTTTTAACAGCAACAACATCTAAAATGGATGTCTCATGTAACTCAAATAGAAAATAATGACAGGCTAGGAAGGAAACCCACATCAATACTGGAAAGAGCAATAACAGGTACTGGACTTGAGAAACCTGTTTTCTTGAAAAATTGTTTTAAGAGAAAGATTTTATAAATTTCAACCAACAGTAGTACTGGCTACTTTATTGATGAATGCCAAATGTTTCCTTATAGAAAAACAGATAATTATCATTATAAATGTTGTGGTAGGATCCACCTAATTTGCATAGGGAGTACCGACCATATAAATATGGTTGGTACCGGGAAGATGAGGGAAGGAATTAAGAGATTCAATCCAGAGACTCTGCCCGACTGAGACTAAGTCAACACATTCTCCAGGAACGGTCTTCCCAAGAATATATAAAAGACTATATGTAAATATTGTGTACCTTTCTTGTTTCAATACATTGTGTTCTAAGTACATTTTGTGTTGTATTATTATTCCATGCATTAGTCAAGTTTCAACAATAAAATAGGCTACAAGCCCTGCAGCAGCTTAATCTAGCCCAGTTATTGTAAATCTCTTATTATATTTAATTTGTAAATTAAATTTTATCAGGTATGTATAAGGAAAATACATAGTATATTAATGGTTTTGGTATGTATCCAGTTTAGCATTATTTTGGGATTCATTGCTTTTACACTGCTTTTTTGGTAATACTATTTCAGAAAGCAGAAGTTTCCTGGCAGACAAGTGGGGTAAACCTACAATATGGCCTCAACTACAAATCGCTGCAGTGAAATATACAATTATCTCCGTTATGTGGCAGACCAATTGAAACTATTCCAGCTTCTCTGAAAGCCAGAACTGTTCAAATCTTCCTGTTCATCCTGGGGATGATGGGATCTACTAAATTTAATTGACCAAAACATGATACATAAATGAATATCTGCCTAACTTTTAATCCACGCATTGGCCAACAGTCAAAGCAGGTGGAAGAAGCTGGTCAGGTGTTCAAGCTGCACAGTGACCCAATGGCCACACTGTGTCAGGAAACTAATGATGATGACAAAGATCAAGAGTTTTCTGGGTTTCAAGTCAGATATTTTTAGCTTTGACTTGCTCTTAAAATTAAACCCAATACTATTTTTTTTACAAGTTAGCAATTTTTGTATTTGACAGATGTGTATATATATATATATATATATATATATATATATATATATAAAGAAATTGTTTTTTGGGACAAGGCACAGCAAGCAAAACAATATTTTGCATTCACTGCTCTTGCCATAAAGCTATTCTCGGTTACTTATTAAATTGTAGAGACCAAAATTTGAGGAATCAAATTTCCTCTGGGTAGTGCCTGCTATTCTAAAGATGTGAGTAGCCAAAATAAATTTTAAAAAAATGAACTATTTATTTTTACCTTTGATTGAACTTTGACCTTTGACAAAAGAACATTACCTTGAGTATATTTTACTTAATGAGGAAATCTGTTTGTATCAACAAATATCAAAAATGTTTAGTCAAATTAGATTTGTAGTCTATTTTGACGCTCCTGTTTTTCAGAAAGAGGCTTCAAGAAATAGGAAAATTCAGTTATAGACCCACACCTGATTTTGGAATTCTTTTTTCTTTCCATTTTTTTTTCAGGGAGATGTTCTTAAAAATAATATAAAATCAATTCTGATATACATTCACAGAATTTGTAAATTTTTTAAAATAATTTTCCTTGCCCAAATCAGATTTCTGCATGTGTCTCTGTATAATTGGTAACTTGCATTAAAAAAGATTTCAACTTCAAACACACACACATATATATATATGGTTTATAAACAGATTTGTTTTTCTCACATATATGTATAATCTATCATATCTATAATCTATCCATCTATCCAATCTGATATATATATATATATATATATATATATATATATATATATATATAGGTTTTTAATATATATATTAAATAGCTCTGTTACTTAATATTGAGAACTGTTTTTT